TTTCCCCCCCACAACGCTCACTGCGTCCATTAGTTGTGAATACCCACTCCTTTTTATGGATAAATAATATTCTATTCTTTGAATATACCACATTTTATTTTTCATCAGTTGATGGACATTGGCTTATTTCCATTTTTTGGCTATTATGAATAATGCTATTAATATTTATATACAGATTTTTTGTGAACGTATTTTCATATCTCTTGGGTATATACCACAGAATAGAATGCTGGGTTATCAGTAAACTTTGTGTTTAACTTTTTAAGAACTGCCAGACTGTTTTCCAAGTGAATGCACACATTACAGTCCCACAAACAATGTATGAGGGTTCTAGTTTCTCCACATTCTCCCCAACACTTGTTAGATTATCTGCCTTTATTTTACCCATCGTATTACTTGTGAAGTAATCACTGTGGTTTTGATTTGCATTTTCCCATTAATTATGTTGAGCATCTTTTCATGTGCTTATTGGAGAAATGTCTATTCAAATCCCTTGCCCATTTTAAAAATTGGATTGTCTTTATATTTTTGAGTTTTAAGAGTTCTTTTTATGTTTTGAATACAAGTCCCTTATCAGATACGTAGATAGCAAATGTTTTTTTCCCATTCTGTGGGTTGTCTTTTCACTTTCTTGATGATGTCATTTAAAGCACTAAGGTTTTTAATTTTGATAAAGTCCAATTTATTTTTTTATTTTTTTCTTGTAGGCAAATTTTGCACACTATTTAATGACAATAATTAATTCCTATCTGCTTGAATATTTTGTGATTTTCTTCCCCTCAAAAAACTCTTAATGGTATTTATAATATATTGTTATCAATTGTCTCATAAATGTTTGCCTGGTCCCCAGGCATCCGTGTGTTTCTAATAATAAAACATTGAGGATGGCTTTAGTGACATTCCCTGTTATAATGTTCTATTTTCAATTAATTGTTTTCATTAAAGACAGAATTTGATTTGTATTCTGTAGAATTCTGGGACTCAAGTGTAGGAAGCTGAGATGGGGAAAAAAAAGAAACCTCGTAGGTAGCCATTTTACATAATGTCCTTCATAAACAATGTCCTTACCATCATCTCCTTTCTTACCTCTCAAGGTATAGGATTTGCTTTCATTCTAAGGTGTTGAATGTGAGCCCTGAAATAACCAGTAAAGTATTTTAATGCAGTGACTTCCCTTTATGACAGGGATAATAAAAACCTTTGTGATTGCTATTCTTGGGATACAAAAAAGCTTATAGAAACTTTATTTTATGTAAAGTGTATTAATAATGATAATAGCTAATGTGTATTTAGTACTTACGTGCCAAACACAAAGTGCTTTATGTATATTATCTGAATGAATTTTCACAACAGCTCTTTAAGGTAAGTAATACAATTTTCTCCATTTTTATGTGTGAGGAAACTGAGATATACAGAAATTAAGTAACTTGTTATCATAGTTTGGACAGCTATAATAAACTACCATTGACTGGGTGGCTTATAAACAACAGAAATGTATTTCTCATGGTTCTGGAGGCTGGGAAGTCCAAGATCAAGGTGCCAGTAGATTTGGTGTCCAATGAGGATCTGCTTCCTCATAGATTTGCCATCTCACTGTAACCTCACATGGCAGAGGCGGAGAGTAGGGGAAGCAAGGGAACTCTCGCAGTCCTCTTTTGTAAGAGCACTAATTCCATTCATGAGGATTCTACCCTCATGACTAATCACCTCCCAATGGCACCACCTCCTAATACCTTGGAGCTTAGGATTTCAACACATGAATTTTGGCAGGACACAAATATTCAGTCCATTGTACTTGCCCAAGGTTTTACATTTAATAAGTTGTGGAGCTAAGATTCATCCTCAGACAACTTGATTTCAGAGCCAAGTTTGAATCATAACCTCTATCCTGACAACTTTAGAGCTTATACACTCTTGATAATAAAGGATAACAGTAGGATAGAGCAATGTCTTCTCTTATTTTTATGTGCTGTATACTTTTCCAAGAAATAATTTCCTACTAATTGTATAACATATCTTTTTGCCTCCTGAATAAGATGAAAAAGGTTATCGTTGCTGTAATATTGCTGACTCTTTAATGATCATATATTTCAGATCTCAGTGGGAAATGGAGAAACATAATCTGGAAAGCACAATGAAAACATACGTAAGCAAACTGAATGCAGAAACTAGCAGAGCTTTAACAGCTGAGGTAAAAAAAAAAGGGGGGCAGGCAGGAGATGGGAGGGGCGGGGAGAAGATGGGCATGGAGTGAGAAAGGGAAGTTTTATTTGTATACTAATATACTAAAGAATTTTTAAAAGACTGTTTTTGAATAAGCAGAAATAAGACATCTTAGGACCAGCCAGGAAAGTGCAGCTCAAAGCCTTGTGCTTTTTTTGACTCATTGGTATATTGTGGATGAAAGTACTTCAGTGTTGATGATCTTATGTTGTTTTACCCCAATGACTGCAAGAAATTGGTCTGTTGTAGTATCTACAGCAAATACAGACATCTTGGAAAAATTCTTATGAAGCCAGGTCACTAAGCAGAACTTCTAAGAATAACATTTTATTGCTGCCGTAGTATCTTCTTTGTCTACTATTTTCTATCCAGATCTTCCAAAAATACATATACATCGTACACCCCAATGTCAAATATCAACTTACTTTCCAGATTCTCATAGTCACCAAATTTCTTCTAAATTATCTTAGAATACCACAGCTGGGGTCTCTCAAAAGAAATATGATTGTATGTGTGTATGTAATTTTTATTTATAGATAACCAAACTTGATATACAATAGGATTAACATTTTTGGAAAGCTTGCTGACGTTAAAAGCATTACAGACCTTCCCACCTGTGTCATGGGTAAGCTCTGTTACCTAGCAGAGTACTTGGCATCCCAGAAGTCAACAACCAAAGAATGATATCTGGACCAAAAATCCATGAAGAATAGTGTTGGGGCTATATCTTTAAAAAGAGAAAAAGTTCAGATTACCTTAAAAGATCAATTTTGTGTACTTTGTTTTTCACTGTTTTTGGTCAGAAGGCCTCTTTCTGCTTCCATTATTAATTTTAGGAAGGAAGAACTTTCTAATACTTAATGTCCAAGAGTATATTTTTAGTGAATATTGAATGATTAGTAGTAAAAAATAGAGGCTAAATGATTGTGCATCAGTAATGATGTGGAAAGGCTTCCTACTATGGGAAGGATGTTGGAAGAGATGATCTCCAAGGCCCATTGGACTGTATCTCTCTGGTCTGATTATTTTATTGCCTTTTCATCAGTGAAGAGAAAAAATAGCAAGACTTCTTTTGAGTGTTCTCAAATTTTGCTGCATGTTAGAGTTACCCAAGAGCTTTAAAAAATCCCAATGCCCAGGCTATATCCAGTATCAATGAAATTAGAATCTCTGGGACCAAGGCATCATTTTTTTTAAAGTTTCTAAGGTCATTCCAGTATGAGTTTGAAAAGTAATGTTTGCAAGATTGAAAAGTAATGTTCTAGGAATGTTTACCAACCCAGTAACCATTGAAGAAGGAAATTAGAATTGTAGACATGCCTTGATCAAAAAAGCTTTCACATGTATCTTGAATGGTCAAAAAGCCCAGGTACTGTTGGAAGAAATTGAAAAATAGCTTAAAATTTACTTGAGATGATTGAGAAGAGAATGTTCATTTATAAGAAGGACACCTTCAACATCTCTCTTTCTCTCAAAAACCCATAGGTGTATTTTTTACAGTGTCGTAGAGATTTTGGTTTGCTTCATCTAGAGCAGACTGAAAAGGAGTGTCTCAGTCAGCTTGCCAGGGTGACTCACATGGCAGCAAGGTAATCTTTCCCTCTTTCTAATGCATCTTGATCTCAGAGATATTCACAAGTGTCTCCAAGGTTGAACATATCTGTGATGTGTTTTACATATATAACATCAGAGTCTTTGGTGTAAAGAAGCTCTTGTTTTTTTTAAACCTCAAAAGTCATTTAGTTACTTTGATGCTTATACTTTGTTGTCTCTGCCAAAGTACGGAGAAGTTTACTGAGTGCAGTAATAGCTGCTGAAAGATTTTCCCCTTCCTCTATAGTGAAATAGATCAAAAGTATCAGTCAGAGCCAAGCATGAAGACCAGATATTTACAAAACAAGGTAGATTCTAATTGGAAGACTTTTTTCTAATTGTTTTCCCTTCTAAGGCTTAATTTTAAATACTTTTGGAATGCATTGAGTAAAAAATCAGTATTAACACCTAAAACCACATATTAAAGGCAATTTTCTGCTGTGCTTTTATAGTAATTATAGAGTATTTTCAATATTGGACAGGTTGCTTGAAATTCTCCTTAAATTTATAATCTTAAAGGGTGTACCTTCAAACTTCTGGAATTAAATCTCTGGGACCAAGACATCATCACTTTTTAAAATGGTCAGCATTTTAATGATCACCATTGTTCTTTAATTCTGAAGAATCAGTCTCCAATGTTTAGTAAGATTCTGATATGCTTTCAGGTCAGGGAAGTACTGTCTTAAGTGATCAGTCTGTCTTTGCTTGCTAGGAGAAAGGGTGCTCCATAAATTAGAATATTATGAAGCCTCTTTATATGAGATGATACTTGGTTATAACTTGTCCAGCTCTTGTAAAACTGTTGGGCTGGGTGATACTGCAGGGGGGATGTTGTAACATACAGAACCTTTAGAAAGACTGTATGAAATCTCTCTTTTAGAGATGGCGGACCCTAAAGGTAGAGCTGTTGTGTTTGTGCAGTTTATGCACTGCACAAAGGCTGCAACCTCATTCATCCACACAGAGAAGGTACTTATAATTTGCCCTACCAGAGGCAATTTGTTTTTCTAATTTGCAAAGGAACTGCATAAGCCAACCGTGGCTCTGTGATGTCAGGGTTAATATATAGATAGTCCAAAACGTGCTACTAAGATGGGTCAATATTTTTGAGAATGCCCCTGTATTAGATGACTAAGGCAATTCCCTGTTTGGCCTTCTCTGCTTCCCTACTTCATTAGAGTTATTCCTGTACAAAAATTTTATAATATGTGCTAAAAAATATTGCCAAGATAGAAAAAAACTTGGTGTTCTGCAAACATCAATTATATTTGCTCTTGAAAAAAAGAATTCTTTATATTACTAGTTTTTGTTTTTAATTTTTAATAACAAGCCCTTCTGTACATCTTTGTGTCCATTTGAGGTAATTGTCAGTGATGGGGTCATTTCTTTGTTTTATGTTATATGCATGTATTCTACAACAGTGATCCCCAGCCTTTTTGGTACCAGGACTGGTTTCATGGAAAACAATTTTTCCATGGACCAGGGACCGGTGGGGGGGATGGTTTCGGGATGATTCAAGCACATTACATTTATTGTGCAGTCAAACCTCTCTGCTAATGATAATCTGTATTTGCTGCCGCTCCCCAGTGCTAGCATCACCACCTCAGATCATCCGGCATTAGATTTTCACAAGGAGCAGGCAACCTAGATCCCTTGCGTGTGCAGTTTACAGCAGGGTTCACACTCCTATGAGAATCTAATGCCACCGCTGATCTGACAGGTGGTGGAGCTCAGGTGGTGATGCAAGTGATAGGGAGTGGCTATAAATACAGATGGAGGTTTGCTTGCCTGCTGCTCACCTCCTGCTGTGCATCCAGGTTCCTAACACATTGATGGCCGGGGGTTGGGGACCACAGTGCTAGAAAACATAATGGAAATTTTTGGAAACCTAAGTGTTACATAAAAATAAAGTGCTTTCTCTTGTGTCTCCTTTTCTACATCAGCAACCTAGAATCACTTCAATTAAAGGCTGCGGTAGATAGTTGGAATGCCATTGTGACAGATGTTAGAAACAAGATTGCATTCCTCAGGGTAAGTCCTGAAGTACGTTTAGAGTAAATTGGCTGAATGTTATGGATGATATAAAGTTAGAAGGCATCTAACTCTAAAAGCAATTAATAGAGAAATTTAAGAAAGAATATATTTTTTCTTTCAGTAATTAAAATTTATTTCTTCAATTTGAGATTAATTACTTACATGTAGTTGATTATAGATAGCCTACTAAACTCATACATGTAGTCTTGTAGATCCCTTAGTCCAGGAAATGATAAACTCAAAAATTGTGCCTCACACCTAATTTTCCTAAAATTTCAAAGCTTACTCTGCCCTAAAGCTAAATGTCTTGACTTGGTCTCATTAGTAATGTATTTACAGAATTAAAAGGAAGATCAAATAGGCCTGTATTAGTACTTAGTCTTAACTTTTTACATAATTATTCCATAATGAAAACAGTAAATTCTTAATTATTGATTTAATAGAATTAGGACTGTGCTAAAGGTAATCTAAAGAGATAACCCACTGAATATTTATGAATTTGGTTTTAGAATCTTTTTATATTTATATATTAAGGTTGATATATAATATTGATTGTTTTGTGATTTCACAGCACTACTAGCAAAAAAACAATGATGTTCTGTTTGTAAAGTGCTGCCTGAAAGCACTGTAGACTTGTCCAGTTTCTTCCTTGGTAGTTTTGACTGTTACTCTATAGACTTTTACTCAGCCTTTAGTGATGCTTAGCATTTCTGTTGGGTTTATTCAAAGTTGTGGCCTCAAAAGAGCTGCCCCTTACTGTCTATCCTTGTTTTCTTCCAAGCACATGTCCTCTATGTGGAAGTTTTTTAAAATGTTTTGTTTTATAAGACTTTATTTTTCAGTTCTTGTGGGTTGTTTACAAAATAATATGATAAAGCAAAATAGGGACAATGCCAAAAAGTGTTGAAAGCATGTTGTTAAACTTTCAGGATTGGAGTTTCATTTTTGGCAAAATGCAAGAGAATAAAATATATATGGAGCTAGAGCTAACCAGGGGTATAGCTTTTGAGATAAACAAAATGTACCGATTTAATAATTATCTAGAATTTTTCCTTCAGTTTTTAAAATTAATGTAAGTAGTTCATCTCTTTGTTACAAATACATTTTCTTTTCTCTATTTACTAGGCAGTATATTATTTATATCTTCTTGAATCTTTAGCCCTTGTTTACTTTGTAACAGTGGTTTCTATTTTAGAGCTGAAAATTATGGAAACACTTGGGGGATTACCACAAGGATCTGTGAATTATGTGTCTCTGTTTCTTGTCAATCAACCTTTTTTAAAAATACAGCTAGGCCAGGCGTGGTGGCTCATGCCTGTAATCCTAGCACTCTGGGAGGCCGAGGCGGGTGGATTGTTTGAGCTCAGGAGGTCGAGACCAGCCTGAGCAAGAGTGAGACCCCGCCTCTACTAAAATTAAAAAGAAATTAATCGGCCAACTACAAATATATAGAAAAAAATTAGCCGAGCATGGTGGCGCATGCCTGTAGTCCCAGCTACTCGGGAGGCTGAGGCAGAAGGATCACTTGAGCCCAGGAGTTTGAGGTTGCTGTGAGCTAGGCTGACGCCACGGCACTCACTCTAGCCCGGGCAAAAGAGTGAGACTCTGTCTCAAAAAAAAAAAAAAAAAAATACAGCTATTTACTTGTGGAGATAGTGGTCTCTAGAATTGTTTTTATTTCAGAAGCTTTTTTTTTAATATTATTTCTGACCATAGCTTGGGAACCACTATTCTATATTATTAAAAACTACATCAAGTATTCCCATATGTTGTTTCTTTAAAGTTGATCGTGCTCTAAAATATTTTTACTCTTCCTCTACCAGACACAGTACAATGAACAAATCAACAAGGTAAAGCAAGGATTTGCCTTGAGTACCTTGCCTCCAGTCCAGCTTCCCCCCCCACCACCCAGTCCTGAGATACTGGTAAGAAATATCACATTCTGAAAAATTGCCATCTTCATTTTGACAAAATGGTAAAGGCTGTAAAACACTGAATTTGCGGCATGTTTAGTGTGTGTTCAAAATGGAATAGGCACATTATCGGTTGTAATTATGACCATACCTACTAGTCACCAGATGATATAATTAGTTGGCCGGCTCAGCTGAGCCCTAGACAGTAGGTTATATCACTGGATATTAGTGATACATTTCATGTCATTAGAGTAGTATTCTCTCACTTATCGCATCAATCTCTCCTACATCATGGGAGATAACTGGTGAATACTCAGAATTCCCAGTGCCCTTATGTTACCACTAGATGACTGAAGCATTTTAGCATTATACCCTGGAAGGCTGGACATCACCCCTCCTCACTTCCACTTTAGACTTTCTTTTCCTTAAGTTTTATATTCTATTCTGCCTTCAACAGCAAGGATAGCTTCCACATATACCCTTTCTCTGCTTGTTGTTAGGGGCCAATGGATCTTAATCAGATAAACTAATATCTATACTATACTATTTATGTTACCCTTCTGGGAAACATAGTAGCCTAACCTAGTAAATTCACACAGTTTTCCAAAAGACCTTTTTAAGAGGTTATCATTATGTGATAATTTTATTATCATAACAGATCTGGGGCTAGGAAGAGAAGAAAGGTGTAAGATATTTGGGGGCAGATGACTTTTGATATCAGGACTCCTGCTTGTAGTAGAGCTCTGAAAATGTTATTTCTACTCATGGTTGAATAAAAAAAAAAAATAAAAAATTATATGAATTGGATGTAGTTATGCTGTGTATTTCAAAAGCAGAATCTAGAGCTAAAAGAATTATGTATTATACACTGTGAGCGGTAGCTTAGAATGATACTGTTGCCTTTCATATTTTTGATCAATTCAGTTTCTATAGGAGCATTGCTTTATGAACATTATTATTCTAGGCTTGGATCATCATCATGCCCAACCACCCTGAGAAGGAATGTGTTAAGTAGCTGACAGAGAAATCCCTGTCGTAACATGTATTTTTGGTAGGATGTCTAAATATCTGGACCTTGTGCCCATATTCAAAATACTGCCCTTAGATTGTAGTTAAACTCTCCCATTACTCTAAATATAAAATGGCTCCAGAGACTGTGAAGCTAGATTCAGAGGCGTTCTTTGGAGTTTCCCAGAACCAGACCCACATAAGCCTTGGTTGTCTGGTACCAGTTATGTTCCATAGCTGACAAACATAGTCAAACCTTGACCTCCAGATCCTCTAGACCAGCAGTCCCCAACCTTTTTGGCACCAGGGACTGGTTTCATTGAAGACAGTTTTTCCACGGACTGGGGAAGGAGGATAGTTTTGAGATGATTCAAGCGCATTACATTTACTGTGCATTTAAATCTCTCTGCTAACGATAATCTGTATTTGCGGCTGCTCTCCAGTGCTAGCACCACCAACTCAGCTCCACCTCAGATCATTAGGCATTAGACTTTCACAAGGAGTGTGCAACCTAGATCCCTCGCATGTGCAGTTTACAGTAGGGTTTGGGCTCCTGTGAGAATTTAATGCCACCACTGATCTGACAGGAAGCAGTACTCAGGCAGTGATGTGAGCAATGGGGAGCACCTGTGAATACAGATGAAGCGTCCCTTGCTCTCCTGCCGCTCACCTCCTGCTCTGTAGCCCAGTTCCTAACAGGCCACAGACCAGCACTCATCTGCAGCCTGGGAGTTGGGGACTGCACCTCTAGACCTTTATTCCTTTGCAGACTTTCTCATGTCTGATGTGGCTTACCCAGGTTTAGTTAAGCGCAAAAACCTACTGGCATTTACGCTGTATGGTAATTCATAAGCATCCTTTGCTAACAACCTGAGGGGTACACATGTATCTTTTGTGCTTCCTAATCAGAGTCACTGCTGTGCTTGACTCACAGTTGTGTTAAAGTGCAAGTATTAGTGACCATGAAGCTTTAGAAGAGAGAAGTTGAGAGAAAAACAGCTAGAAATGTTACAGTGCTATTGGTTATAATTTGAGCTGGTGTTATACAACGGAAGTACACTAGAGAGGTCTGGATTCAGATCTTAACTTTGTGAAGAAATACATTGGTCTTGGGAAAATCAGCTGTTTTGGATTTTGATTTTCCCATGAATAAATTAGGAAATTGTACTAGATGATCTGATCACTAAAGTCTCATCTATCTCTGAGATTCTAGCATTCTAAGGAATGGTCACCAGACTTAAAATGTATAGTAGTCTACCTTGAGAACTCTACCATAATATGGACCATTCCCAGCGTAACCCAGTAATTTTACATGTTTCATTATGACTTGATTTTTGTACCCTGGCTATTTAATTCTCAAGGAAGTGTTAAAAAGATCATTCACAATGATCAAGTGGGATTTATTCCAGGGATGTAAGGATGGTTTAATGTACCCAAATTGGTATATATGACACATGACATCAACAGAATGAAGGATGAAAACCATATGATCATTTCAAAAGATACAGAAAAATGTTTGACAAAATTCAACATTGCTTCGTGATAAAAACTCTCAACAAATTAGGTATAGAAGGTACATACCTCAACACAATGAAGGCCATATATGACAAACAGTTGAAGGCTTTTCCACTAAGATCTGGAACAAGTCAAAGATGCCCACTTATATGCAACATAGTACTAGAAGTCCTAGCCAGAGTAGTTAGGCAAGAGAAAGAAATAAAAGGCATCCAGATTGGAAAAGAGGAAGTCAAACTGTCCCAGTTTGCAGACAACATGATCTTACGTATAGAAAATCCCAAAGATTCCACCAAAAAACTCCTGGAGCTAATACATGAATTCAGTAAAGTTGCAAAATACAAAGTCGACATATAAAAACTAGTAGCATTTCTGTATGCTAATAGTGAACTCAAGAAAACAATCCCATATACAATAGCTACTAAAAAGAAATACCTGGGAATAAATTTAACAAAGAAGTTAAAAGATCACTATACTGTTTAAACTATAAAACATTGATGAAAGAAATTGAGAAGGACACATATAAATGAAAAGATATCCCATGGTCATGGTCGGGAAGAATTCAGGGAAATGCGGATCAAAGCCACAGTGAGATATCACCTCACTCCAGTTCGAATGACTACTATTAAAGTGACAAAACAAACCAAATGTTGACAAAGATGTGGAGAAAAGGGAGTCCTTGTACACTGTTGGTGGGAATGTAATTTAGTATAGCTATTATTGAAAACAGCACAACAGTTCCTCAAATAATTAAAAATAGAGCTACCATGTGATCCAACAATTTCACTGCTGGGTATATATCCAAAGGAAATGAACTTCGTATCTTAAAGAGATATCTGCACTCCTGTGTTCATTGCAGCGTTATTCACAATTGCTAAGATATGGAAACAACCTAAGTGTCCATAAAGATTGAATAGATAAAGAAAATGTGTTATAAATATACAATGGAATACTATTCAGCCATAAAAAGAATGAAATCCTGTCATTTGCAATAACATGATGAGCCTGGAGGATATTATGTTAAGTGAAATAAGCCAGGCACAGAAAGACAAATACTGCATGATCTCACTCATATGTGGAATCTAAAAAAGGTTGATCTCATAGAAACAATGAATAGAACAGTAGTAACCAAGACTGAGAAAGGGTAGAGAGAAGGGGGAGAGGTTGGTCATTGGGTACAAAGTTACAATTAGAAGGAAGAATAAGTTCTGGTGTTCTGTTGCATAGTAGGGTGACTATAGGTAACAAGGTATTATATATCTCAAAATAGCTAGAGCATATTTCAACAACAAAGAAATAATAAATGTTCGAGGTGATGGATATGTTAATTACCCTTATTTGATCATTATACAATGTATACATGTATCAAAATATCACATTATACCCCATAAATATGCACAATTATTATGTGTCAATTAAAAATAGAAATTAAAAAAGTGTTAGGTAATAGTGGTTCTCCAAGGGCAGGACTATTGGCTCAGTACCCACCATTTTTTTATTCTTTAAAAACTTTACATCATTAAAAACTTAAGACATATATAAAAATAGTATAATCAACCTCTGCAAACCTAAGAGTCAGCTTCAATATTATCAACATTTTTTCGATCTTGTTTTATATTATCCCGTTCTTCCTCTCTACCTGAATATGTTAAAGCAAACCCCAGATATCATATAATTGTATCTATTTTTACTTTAGTATATATCCTAAAAGATGAGGAACTCTTATTAGATATAGTCATAACACCATTATCTTACCTAAGAAAATTATAATTTTAATATCTAAAATATAGTTAAAATTTATATTTCCCCAGTTGTCTCAAAATGTCTTTTTCTTGCCTAGAAGGCATATGATGTCTCTTCTTTAGTGATGTTAAGAATCAAATGTCAACCCAATCTATCCATTGTAAAAGTTCCCCATTTACTTGTCACATGCTAATTTTAGGATTGTCACTTAGAGCTATGTTGATATTGTTCATGTGTTTACTTAGATTGTTATTGAACTCTTCCTGCTTTATGTCAGGCCTGGCACATGGTACGTGTTCAATAAGTCTGTCCTCTTCTGAACTTCAACCAACAAGGTATTTTTCCTATCCATAGCTGGGAATGAGGTCTAGTTATCCACAAGCCCCTGGGAAGTACAGTAACACCGACAAATATATCTATAAGTCACTGTAGGAGAGTTTATCCCCCAGGCCTACCCCACTTCATCTTTCTACTTTCTTGGAGCTAAACATGAAGTTGGGATTTCATCAAGTGGTGCCTCCAGTACATAATAGAGAAAGAAATATTTTCTATGGATAACTTTGAGTTCTTTTGTGAAATTCCTGAGTATCAGTAGTGTCCACCAACATAGACAACACTCACTGAGAATCCCCTTTGCCTAGTCCTATATTGTTACCTCACCTAACCGTCTCATTTTATAGATTAGAAGCTTGGCATCCAAGCTTGCCCAGCTAGGTGGAGAAAAGTGGGACTTTATAGAATGCAATTCTTTACTCTCTTTTGTAATGCTCTTTCTGGTATATGTCATTGCCCTTTGCTTTTTCAGATATTCATACATTTACCTAATGTTCCGATATAGATTGTTTCTAATATGCTTTGTATCTGTATTTCAAATTACTATTTCCCCTTACACATTGCTCTATGAATTTACATCATTGCCCATGTAAACACATAAATGTGTATGGGTTTTTTGTTTGTTTTAACTTTTTACTTTTTCTATTTAGATGCAGCAGTTCCTGGGAAGACCCCTTGTGAAAGAATCTTTCTTTAGACCCATACTTACTGTTCCTCAAATGCCTGCAGTTTGCCCTGGAGTCATTTCTGCACCTGGCCAACCTAGAGGCCCCCTGGTAAGATCCTTTCTTGATGGAAAAGACATGAACTAATTTTTTATCACTATAGCGGGCTTCCTGAAGGAATATTTTCTCTTTGTTTATTTATTGGGTATGGATAATGATGAGTGATGGCAGTGATGATGATAATTGAATGAATACTTCCCGTGAAGCATTTTGCTAAGAGTATTACATATATTATTTAAAACAGGCAA